CGACCTCCACCGTTCGCCCGCTGCCGCCCGCCAAGGAGCGGTTGAGCTCCCCGCCAAACAACCATGAACGCGCTGTGGTCATCGCGTGCCTCGCCCGATGGGGGCGCCGCGGCAAGCGACAAGCCGTCCACCGATAACCAAACCGACGAAACTATGGCAGAAACGACAACAGAACCGACGGCAGAGACAACGACTGCTCTTACCACCGAAGACACGAACATGACCGACACCCCAACCTCGAACCCCGAACCCGAACCGCCCAAGCGACCACTTCTCCAACGAAACCATCCCTCCGTTCCGCCTCCCCCAGTGCCAGCTGCACCCTCCGCCCCAGAACCCCCGAACCTCCAGCTCCAGACCAACCCCACCGACAACAATGGCCCACCACCCCAACTCCAAGTCCAAGTACCCCTCGGTCTCCCCCCCGGCCCACCTCGAAACCAACCGCAGCAACAGCAGCAGCAGCTAAACCAACAGCAAGAACCACCCACCCAACCGCAAGACTCCCTCTCCCTGGCCCAGCTCCGGCGCGTGGTCGCCGAGTTCCCGCGCGCCGAGCCCATCGCCTACGACTACGTCTACGCCGACACGTCCCCCCTGCGCGAGGAGATCGACGAGTGGTTCATGTACAACTTCTGGCAGTGGGTGCGCCTCAACGCCGCCAACCGCGCCTTCTACACCGCCTGGGTCCGCCTGTTCGCCCCGCCCGACACCGCTGCCGCTGCGGCGGCGGCGGCGGCGGCGGTGGAGGGGGGTGGTGGGCCGAGTTGGGATGGGTTGGATGAGGAGGGTGAGGGGGGTGGTGGGGTGGAGGCGGCGGCGGAGAGGAGGAGGACTTTTGTTACCGCGTTGTTGGAGGGTGTTAAAGGGGGGGATCGGATTGCTAGGGCCGAGGCGGTCGGTGCCATAGTGTATTTGGTGCTGGGGAGGTGGACTGAGACGGTCAAGGGCGCCGGTGTGCTCGACGCTGATGTGCTCGAGGGAAAGGCGAAGTCGGCTGCGACCGATGAACAGCTGGCGGCGATGAAAGAGGGGGTGAAGCTGGTGGCTGAGTGTGGCGGGTTAGAGATCGTGTGGGAGGTATTGAGGGGCGTCTTTGAGTTGTTCTGGTAAGTGCCGAGTGCGGAGGGTGGGAATGGGGGTTGTGTGCTGACTTTACAGGTCTGATGAACTCCCGCAGAACGTGCAGATGGCTGCCGAGGAGCTTATCCATCTGATGACCGTCCTGTATATGGCCATCCAAGAGGTGCTGGATGATCCCGAGGGGATGGCCGATGTCCGGCATAGGCTACGTATGTTGTAGACTCCCGCCCCGAATCTCAACTGCTAACCCGCAATAGTTGCACTTAATCCCGGCCTCATTAGCTTTATGCTTCATGTCATCATGAAATTGCGGTGGGACGAGACAAATATCCTCCCGCAGACTCAGGTACTTTTCACGCGCCCCGTGACACTCGTGATGCTGACCGTTTAGATATTCCTCCTCTTCTGGAAGTCTCTCTTGCTAGTGTTCGGCGGCTCTGAAGAAATTGCTGAGGCAAAGAAGGCCACTAGCGAGCAGACGGGTTGCGAGGACAAGGACATCATCACGGCGTCACCCCTTGATTACCACGCGTTCCGCCAGGAGATCACCTCCAAGTATCCCGCCTACATCCCCCCCCAGCCTCTCCTACCTCTGGAACCAGAACAAAATACCATCATCCCCCCGCTACCCAACCACCCGGTAAGAAACAACGGGTCTAACGGGGTCCACCCCGCCGCCCCTGGCCTAGGTGGAGGGGCCTCCATTCTACATCAACCCGTTCACATCGCCACTCCTGCTCCGTCGCCGCCACCAAGTCCTGGCGTTGGTGGTAAAGGCGGTAAGAAGCAAAACTACCAAACGAACCAAAACTTCCCCTTCATGTACCCACCCCTAGATGCCTCGAGCAACAGCGCGGGCGGCAAGGGCGGTGCTGGGCTACAGGACTTGTTAGTTGGCAGGAAGTGGGAGGGCAGCGATGTGCCGGCTTCCATCCTGGAGGCTGGTGAACTCTTTTCGAAGCGAGTGCGCATGAGCCGCGCTACCCGACAGCTGTGGGATGAACGCGAGGAGTTCCTCAAGTTCGAACGAGGCTACGATGCGGACAGCGACATCATCGATGAGCTTGACCTGTCATCGTTGACCCTCGAAGAGAAGGAGGAACTAGGCTTGAACAGGCCCGCTGATGACAAGCCCCGTGTCCCATCCAACCTTGGGCCAGACTATGGGCCGCGCGGGGTCAGTCAAGAAGTACAGGGGCGCTTGGATGCCGTGGAGGAATTCTACGTGAGTTGACCGAATGTTTTGCCCTGTTCCACTAAGTTAACAACTCCGCAGAAAGAAGCACTGCCGCAGCTTCAGTCGCTGGTCATTGTCCTCCTGAGACAGATCACGGCGATGACTAGTAACTTAGCCTCGCCGCAGACTGCCGCGCCCCAAGGACCGCCCAGCGCGCGCCCAAATGGAGGCCAGCAAAACGGCCCGAATGGCCAGAACGGTGCTCCTAAGGGTGATCCGTCTTCGCCACTGGACGCCGACGTCGACGAGCTGCGGAGCCGAGAAATCGCTGCCAAAGCCGTGACTGGTACCTTGATACTGCTGCTAAAGTGGCTCAAGCTCTCCCATGTCCTCAAGTTCGAGTACATGACCCAGCTCTTGCTGGACCTCAACTATCTCCCAATGGCGCTTAAGATTTTTGCCATGTACGATGTTCAGCAGGTCGTCGAGAGCAGGACGGACCGGCTGGAGCATAGGTTAGTTTCGTTTATCCTCTCGCAACGGCTAGTGATGCTAACAGAAGCAGCTTTTTCTACTTCTGCGGTTCCCGCGCGGGCGTCATCCCGCCGCAGCACAGCGTGCCTAACCCAACAGCAACCGAATTCGAGGACATGAGTGACGATGACGCCGCACCCCCTCCCATAAAACGCAAGCGCTCACCCCCCAATGCCCCCTCCAAAGGCGAGGCCACCTCCGACTCCTCACCCCCCGGATCATCCGACCCATCCACCGCCACCTCAGAAACCACAGAAACAACAAACGACCCCCCTCCCCGGCCGGAGGTCGACGAGCTCGGCTACCCCATCAACCCGCTCCCAACGGAGCCCATCACCGACTTCTCCCGACGCAACTTCTTCTCCCTCATCAACTACCTCCGCATCATGCAAAAAGTCTGCAAAAACCGCGCCCACCGCAACCTCCTCATGGTGCAATACAAGTCCTCCAACATCCTGCGCAAATCCCTCAAGGTCCCCCAACACGAACTCCGCCTCTACACCCTCAAACTCTTCAAAAACCAAGTCCCCTACACCGGCCGCAAGTGGCGCCAGTCCAACATGCGCGTCATCACCGCCGTCTACCTGCACTGCCGCCCGGAGCTGCGCGACGAGTGGCTGGTCGGCTCCGCCGTCGAGGACCAGGTCGATGACGCCGTGCCGCTTGAACAAGCCCTCCGCTCGCTCACCCACTGGTCCAATCTGCGCCGCTACCCGGACCAGATGACCACGGGGGGCAATGGGGCGGGCGGGGCGGCGCTGATGCGCCAGGCGATGAGGGAGGAGCAGGACTTTTTTGTGAGGGAGTTGGAGAAGGCGGATTGGAGCTGGCTTGCGGAGGGAGGGAATGGGGGGAATGGGGGTGGCGGGGAGGAGAGTGGTGGGGAGGGGGGGATGGGGTGGGAGGAGGGTGGTTGGTAGTTGGTAGTAGGTTAGTTAATGTTCCATGGTAGGGGGTGGATGGTAGAGAGGGGTATGTATGGGTTTGGCTAGCGAGAGGCGGTAATTGTTCTGGTAGCGTTGCGCTGTGTTAGTGTACAAGGGCGGAGGCATTCTCTGGAATGGAGTCCTCTGCATGAGCGGGAATAGTGAACCGGTTACTATTCGTCACTCCATCAGCCGCCGTAGCCTTTGCATCAGCGAATGCCCCGCCTCTTATGCTTGACGCACAGGATCGATAGTGCGACTAAGGTTGGATGGTGAAAACAGGATATCCATTTATTTGCTTCATTTGCCTCATAATCCATCTCATCATACATATCCTTCTCTTCCTATCCCTTGTCTCCGTAAGAGAGACAAGTCATTCATGACTAGCATCTGCAACAGTGGCAGAGCTTGCCAAAGCATGGCTGATGAAACCTGCTTGTTCCCCATGTTCCCCGCCACGTGGATGTGGCTTCGTAAAAGAAGAAAAAAAAACACCGTTGCTCAGAGCAGGTGTGAAAGTGACCGGAGAAGTGAAACTGACAATGTCCCGTGATATATCCAACAACGGCAGCAACTGCTGCTAATACATGCGGCTTGCGCAGTGGGTAAAGTGAAAAGAAAGTAATGCCCCCTTCAACACCAAAGAATAAGAAAATGAAGGAAAGAAGAAACGAAGAAAAAAAGAAGAAATGAAAGTAGTCGTTTCGAGACAGACTGGTTCCCCAACTCCTCAACAACGCCTTGCAAAAAAGAAGAAGGATTAATCCCAAGCTCCAGATGCCGCTGGCACGATATGGTATCAGGTGGTTGGTAGGGTATATGCATCAATCGGCCGTACCAAGCGGCGCTGTCTATCAGATGACCAACCCCCTTAACACCTAAGAAATGCTTCGCACACGAGACCGCACTATTTTTATGCCTGGTTGCCGGCCAGGTCTAGATCCAATCGCCCTTGGCGTTCATCATCGGCGGCGTAGTCTCGCCCGTCCCACGGCGCCGTGGTGGGCTCCGAGGAGGGCTGCCGGGCCCCTTGGGTTCCGGCACACTGAAGCCGACACCCTTCGGGCTCGGCAGCCGAGCCTTAGACGGGGAACTGGGGCTGTAGACTTTTGGACTCAGGGTGAATTCCTCCTCCGCCGCCTCGGCCGCGGGAACTTGGCTGTTGATTTTCGGGACAGGTGGGAGGGTCTTCATCTTGACGGCTTTGACGGGGTCTCTTTGGGGCTCTTGGTCGACCGGTTCGGTAAAAGAGGCGGAAGCACCAACGGCTCCGGCGCGTTTGGGACTTTGTGTGTTCAGGCCCGGGGGTGCATTGGGACAACCGAGGGTGTGGACAACATGGTCGCTAGCCACAATCTTGTTTTGGGAGAGCGGAGGCATGTCGTCGACGGAAGAAAGACGAATTCCAATCTGAACAGTGGCCGAAGACACCAGTGACGAGTCCCTTCGGTGACGCATGTTTGAGAGGTTTGCCATCGACGGTGGCGGTTTGAGGTTGTCGGCGGGCGAGTACGTGGTAGCGGGCAGTAGCAACGACGCCTTTGAAGAAATGGTCCCCCTCGGGAATAATGAATATGAGCGTTTGCGCATGTGGGGGCCCGCGGTTGTCTGAGGGATGCGTGCGGGCTCTGGTGCCTTGGGCATCAGGACGGATGCCACGGCCGAAACCAGCCTGTTAGAGCGCATGGAGTCCGGGCTCCGTCTGCCATTTCTAAACGAGGTCGAGTTTATGCTCCTGCCATCCAGTGCTTCCTCTTCCTTCTCGGTGGTGATCAGGCTCGCTTCGCTGCCCATTCGGCGCAGGCCCCGGGGGCCAGTCACTGGATTCATCAACTGGCCATCAAAGTTGTCATCGGGGTCGTTGGAATCCTGGCGCTCGACCTTGTACCGATCCCTTCTGTTTTCATACTCCCCGGCCTTATTCCTGGGCCCAACAGTCGATGAGGTGCTAGATTTAAGGAACAGATAAAGCCCACCGTTCATCAGCCCCGAGACGTTGGCCGCTACCGAGGCGATCATGGCGAGGGTCGGGGCGTTTTGATTACGCTCTCGAGGCGTATCCCTGAAACCTTGAACAAAAAAGAACGGAATCATGAACGACTGCAATAGGTCAGCGACGAAGGCTAGATGCGGGTGGCCGGCGGGTGACATACGTTTGAGATGACTCCGAGGACCAGAAAGTATACCATTCTGGAGGCGGCAACTCTGGCGGTGACTTCGACTCCGATGCTGCGGTGCAGACGAAGAAACACGGTAACGGCAGATGCCAACACAGTCGACACTATAGCGACGAGGAGGCCGAAACACATGACTGAATAATGAGAAATAAACCAAAAGAGGGAAGTGATGCAGAAATCAGCAGGTTGGTCGAAGTCGGCGACGAGAAAGTTGGCGAGGAGAAGCATCGCGAGGATGGAGAGGCAGATGGAAACGTTGTATTTGCCTCTGGGCGCGAAGGGTTTCTTTTGGAGGGCTCTTATGGCGATCTCGGCGCCAAAGACAAGATGCGAGTAGGGGACAACAAATACGGCTGCCAGAGTATCAGCAGGTAAGCCCTCAATCCGCTAGCAGCGGGAGTTCGCTTACCAGGTAGCATGAGTTGCGCGATCCATATGCATCCCCTGCCTAGGGGGCTGTCCAATCCCCTAGACTGAACGCCAGCGAAGATGAAGCCTTGAAAAAAGATGCCGACGGATAACACGAGAGGGAAGGTTTCGGCCTCTGTAACAAAGTTGAAGCCATTACGCCTAGGATTTGTGAGCGACCGCCTCGACCCAAGAACAAACCGGGATCATACCAGAACCTAAAATTCCGGTCGTTCCTCTTCTTCCGGAAGTACGATTCGCACAAAATGCCTAGAGCGGTAGCGAAGGCAGCTATGATGTTGAAAGAGGCCAGAATGATGGCCGAGGTCCTGATGGATTTGGCGGCGGAAAACTTCAGTTCGTTGAAGAACATTCGCTGGTTGGCGAATTGGGTTGAGTTGAAGGCAGTCCTCGACCTGTTGAAATTGCCCTGCGGCATGAACCCCGTGTTGTCGTCCCGCGACTCCAACCACCCGGCACCCCCCGCGACTCCGGTATATGGATATGGCGACATTGTGCTGCTTCGGCGGGCGGCCACGAGGCTGGCGCTGGCGATGGCGATGAAGCCGTGGTAGCGCCTTACAACTCTCCTGTCGTTAACTCATCTAAACCACGTCGATCTCGTAGACTCGTCGTCGTCGTCGTCGTCGTCCGATGGGCAAGGAAGGGAAGGGGGAGAGCGCGGCAAACAGAGAGAGGAGATGCAGGGCACAGTAACGTTAATGGTATCATCCATCCCAAGGGCGATGCCATGGCTGAGCAGGGGTTGGCACACCTTGAGCTCAACCACGGGCCAGACGAAACAATGCCTGAGCAACCCAGAACTCGCCTGCTCGCCCTCCACCTGGGGATTGTGACAAGGGCCAGGGGAGGACGGCTGGGTCGAGAACGGGAAGCATACAGCCCCCCTGGAAGTGGAGCCCCCTTCCAGAAGTCGCCGGATACTAGTGCCGGTCAAGGGTCAAGATGCATGAAGCTTCAGACAAGCACGAGCAGGCCCAGCACTTGCTTTCCCCACGGTGGCGTTGCTGTGCCACGCTCTCTGCCCAAGCATTTTGGGGGAACTGAGCGTATCATGATATCATGATGTAGAACCTTGGTTCTTGGAAGTTCTTGGAACATGCTCCCGTGGTTGTTGAGATGAGACGGAGTCAATCCCAACATCGAGGTTGGTTCCATTCGCCTTCCTACACCAGACGTACACACGGCCTCTGAGAAGCCATCACTCAGGCACATCCATGAGTGCCGAGACGGCAGGTGAATGACATGAAGCCCGTCTCGAGATGGGATACGAAGATGGCGGTTTGGCGAGTGTGGGAACGGCACGGCCAAAGTTGGCAAGGAACGAAATGTTCTGGGGAGTGGCAAGCAACATCGTGCTTTCTTGGCGGGGCAAAGCTAGGAGTGTGATTTTCTAGGATGCGATGGAAAGAGCTCGATCCGGTGTCGAGTCTACACGGGGCAGGTTCGACCTCTCGGGGTGCAAGCTCAGTCAGCTTTGGCAAGCTCGACGGGCATTGGTGGGGAAGGTGCCAGGCATGAGTTGCACCGTGCGGTTGAGGCAGACCTGTGACAGCCCCGGGTTTCGCTTTCCTGCAGGAACCACCCTTGGCTCCAAGCTCCTCGGTGGGACCCCACCCTTCAACGCCAAGCTTCTGGAGCTCATGCAGGGATGGACCTGGTCGCGCATCAAACAACGAACCTTCCACCTCAAAAACCTCAACACCCAAGTCAAAAGTGATGGTTTCCTTAGAAAAATACAAACTCTGCCACAGAGTCAATCATTTTGAGATTCTTTATGCTTTGAGTAGAATTAGCCGATCGAACTTATTTATCCTCTAATAGGGAGGCAGAGTATGTTAAAGTCAGTCTCGACGAGGAGATGGCAGAGCCCTCAAACATGACATTGACAGTATCACACAATCCTGAAGAATCGAAACAAAATCCGGCGAGCACCGAAGTGGCATACGGTTGCCGATCCACGTGTGGAATGGGCTGTCCTTGTCTCAAGGTAGCGTTCTCGGCCTCGATGGACGACCCACCATAGAGGCCTAATCCCGTCCACTTCCACGGGCTCCCGACGGCTTTCCGTTCTTTGGTCCACCTTGGAGAAACATTCCCATGGAAAACCGTCCGATAAGACAACCTTTCCGGTGCCCACAGACCCAACTTGACGGGCCAAGGCGTTGCCCTACGGGCACTTTGTCTTCTCTTCGGAGTTTAGCGTCCACTCGGCTTTGCCCCTCCACCATTACAATACGACCCCTTGTATCACACTCTCGGAAAGCCCACTTCCCATGGATTGGTGGGCAAGGGCTCGGCCCCGTTCAGGGGGAGTTGCCACTCGTCAACAGTCGGCTACACATACCGATGTACATCGCACGCTGCGATCGGCGCTGTCTTGCAAATTCCTCGCGGAGGAGGTCAAGAAAAAGGCTTCTTCACAGAGTGTTTCTATGTATCCCGGACCACATCTCAAGGATATTGTACAAGTTGGGGGCGACTCGAAGCTGACATACCAGAGCCTATCGCAACAACGGCCGGCCCCCAGCGAGCACCCAAGATACCGGCTCGGCCGGAAGTGACCGAGGGGAGTTCGTCGGAGAATATGAACAAGCGCACGGTCGGGTCTGAGAACCCACCATCTTGGCCAACAAGGTGGAAAGGACTTCCTAATCAGGTTCCTTAGCGGCCGCCACTACCTCCCCACCAGTGGAAGAGAGGACCAAGCTTCAGGGCATGGCCGGAAAACCTGGAAGCTGATCGTTCCGAGATTACGAAATCCTTAGAGAGCAACCAAGTTCTGCGGTCCGTGGGTTGCCTTATCTCTTTGTTGGCTAGTCAAGGTCAAGCCACGTTCTCTGAGAGTGGTTGAACTTTGGGTCAAGAGTGAATGTAGCTGTGGCTTGGGCTGACGTTCATACCATTGCGGCTTGTGGGTTGCCTTCGCCGTCATCATTACCAAAGCCCAGAGCCACTCTAAACAAACTAACCTTAGCCCTGTTATTCTCATATACCGGCAATCATCCATAGATGTAGTCGTCTTCACATCACATTCCCATACTATCTTCGCGACACCCGTCTTACCTGGTTCGAAGAGCATTATCGAATTACTACTTCAGGCTCTCCCATCCCTCCCCACACCCTTACCCAAAAGCCAAACAAACTGGACCCATGAGCTGGAAGATACAACTCCTTTGGCTGCTAGTTGACCATGAACTAGTACAGTCCCAAAACCAGGGGCAGAGCACTGGTCAAGCTTTCGCTATGAAATCACAGTACCTATGCGAGGAAACTAACGCGGATTGCAAGACCACATGAGAATGGCTTGCCGGCTGCAGAAAGATGGGCAAACTACGTAGTTGAACAAACAACATGAGAGCACCGGTGATTGTGTGGAAGAACAACAGGGTTAGGGTTGATAGTTGATTCTGAAGGGAGTTGACTCAGGGGTAGGCGAGGGGCGCACGCCACACTTACCGCCAGGAAGTTGTTGCAGCGTTGGGTCGGAGTGGATTGAGCGGCTTTTATTCGCTCACGTTTCCCCAGACCCTTTCGTGGGTGTGGGTGGCTGGGACAAAAGCAGCCCGCCGCAGCGGCCCGAACCCCATGTCCATACATATTGTAGCTGTGCTCTGAGCCACCAACATGCATGAGGCAGACCTGCCAAGGCGCTATGTGAACCGTCAGCCGCCATCTGAAGGCCGCCGGCTTCACAGCCTTGAGCTTTGTGAAGCTCAAAAGCGGGGAGTTCGGCTTGCTTGAGGAATTGTCGTGGTTTCTGGGTTGGCATCTCCTACTCGTATGTGATGTAAGTAACTCAACCGCTAATAACGGAGAAAATGAAGGTAGAGGATCTCGAACAAAACGGCATCGCCCTTTCCGAAGCGCCAGCCCGCGAGGGGGATCTGCCCCGGCACATTGAGAGAGTGCGAGCCTTCTTATTGGATTTTGCTTGCACGCTTGTAGACGGCCTGGACGAGGACGGCGATGTCTGTATCGAGGACTATGTTCTCGAACGTCGGGATCTTGGATATACCGACAGGGAGCTCCGTGAGGAATATAAAACCATTCGGGATGATGCTAGGATACTGCATTGGGGGAGAGACAGGGAGGCGGAATGGCAGACGTTCTTTCTGATGAACTTCTTCCGCCCGTTAGTGAAGGGGGCGAGAGTGAGGGATGAAGATACACGGAAGTAAGTCTGAGTTTATTGACTTTCACCCCGCCGGTATTCATTCTGACATCTACAAGCGCGGCGCGTGCCAAATTCTACTACGAGTTTTTCGAAAGGTGAGCGAGCTTATGAGCCCATATCAAAGCGACGGGGGCCTGGTACCCCTTGAGGACTTCCCTGAAAGGAAACCCCAACGGGTTTCGTAACCGGTTGCCTCCCTTCGGGGATCTAGCCGGTGAGCTTTTGGTCCCACCACCCCGGCACTAGTTCTTCACCTTTTTTATCTATTCCTTTTGTGAGAAATGAGACATGCAGTGTCAAAAGCGAGAAAGGGTATGACACTGCGCTAACACTACCTAGCGCGCAATCCCGGCCTTGGACTCTCTTCAGGAAGAAAAGAGAGGACTCGGACGACGACAGAGAGAAAGGTTTTCGGCAAGATGACCGGGAGAATCTGACCGAACCCAAACCCGACTGGGTTGCCTTCTTCCCCATCTACAACTTCCCAGGCGAGAGGATACCGACATCGACACGATGGCAACTGATGAAGGACCCGAAGCCAGCCATTGTTGAGAACTTCTCCCCCGCAACCCTCCAGCACCTGGCTCGGCACGGGGTACAATCGAACACTGCCAACATTTTCCGAAAAGACCAAACGCTGGAAAACGTCCTCCTCTCCGATTGCCTCTGCTTCCCGTGGCTGATAGTCGAGCACAAAAAGGCAGGTGAGATGGCACTCGAAGAAAAGTGCCACTGCCAGGCGGCCAACGCGGGGACGGCCGCCGTCATGATGCTCGAAACCCTGGCTAGGATTGTCCCCGGGGTCGAAGAGCACACCGCCAACGAGTACATCCCGCCCGTCGTGACCATGACAACGGTAGATAAGATCGTCCGGGTGTGGATCACGTACTGCTGCGAGCCACAGTCAGACGACGGCAAGGACACCACGAAATACGTCAGTAGCCCTGTCGTACCTCCTTCTGAAAAGGATCACTCTCACTAACCAATGCGTACAGAAAATGGCCTGCATCTGGCACGGCGACATGACCCTCGTCTCGGACCTGATCAAGCTGCGCGCCATCCTCGAGAACACGCACACGTGGGCCATGCGCGAGCAGCGCCCTCGCATCTCGGCGTATATTGATCTGTGGAAGTACAAATACCCGATGACGACGACGGCAGCAGCGACGGGGCAGCGCGAAGTCGAGGATGATCAGGCCACTCCTGCGAGCCTGGCTCCGTCGCTCGCTCACTTGACCCTGCAACCGCGGCCCGGTGATCTGGTCCCGGTCCCGCCCGTGGGTGAGCAGGTGAGGGAGGCGGTTCTGGCGTCGCTGGATGATGGCATGTCAACCCCGGAGCTGGGGAGTGAAGGGTCGGGTGGTGGGGATGAGTTGGGGAGTGGAGATGAGCTGGAGAGTGAAGACGATTTGGACGCTGAGGAGGGTTTGGGTTGTTTAGAGGATGTGGAGGACGAAGAGGATATGAAAAGTGAGGAGGATGTGGAAAGTGAGGAGGATATGGAAAGTGAGGAGGATGTGGAAAATGAAGAGGGTGTGGGAAGTGAAGACAATGTGGAGAGCGAAGAGGATGTGTCAAACGAAGAGACCCTGGGTGTTGAAGAGAACTCTGGTAGGGAAGAGAGTCTGGATACCGGAGACGAATCGACACGGGCAGGATCCTCAGGACCGGAGGAGCTAGCTGAGGAAGAGGAGTCAACAGGGGGGGATTTAACGGATGACGAACCATTGACATGGGCGGGGGACTTGACCTGGGGACACCAAACGATCGAGGAAGAACCGGCGATGGAGGAGCAACCGGCAGCAGAGGAGTCACCGGTACCCAGAGAGCCCACAACACGCGAAGAACCTGCAGTAGAGGAACCGCCATCGACCCCCCCACGCCCACAGCACAGCACAAGTCCCAAACCTCAGCTTCCTGGGAGCCGGGTCCTCCAGGATTTTGCGTTTGGAGCAAGGGTGCCAGGGGTAACTCACCAAAACACTGGTCCCAGTCATTATTGGGACCAACTCAGGCCGTTGCCAGAGACTACCACGCGGTTCGGCGATACCCAAACTCCACTAAGGAATAGGGAGATATTCAAGAAGGGGATTTACCTACCCTACGCCTGGGCACGAGGGGGGAGGATCAAGGTGAAGCTCCCAGACCCCGGAAGCAAATACAACATTCCAGTGCCGCCGCCAGCCGCACCGGTACCAGCCCCCAGGGGACTCACCCGCTTTGAATCCGTGGCCCGGTCATGGACCGACACCCCGACGAGAGATGGCAACGATGACGAGCTCACCAACACACGATTCGAATTCAAGTCGGCCAACGCCAAGCCAGTTGAGCTCAAACCGGCCCAATTCCGCTTCAGCTTCGCCGCATCCGGGACGCCCCCGACGTGGCCACTAACCAGCATCGCTCAGGGAACTACCATGCCGCCTAACCCGCCGTCACTCGGGAATAACAATACGACGGGGCCCTTCTGGAAACCACCCCCGGGAGGGGTAGATTCGGGCTGTCCCGGTAGTCCATCTGCCGGGCGGAGTACAAGTATCTTTTCCACGGAGGGCATGCGGGGAGCGCTTCCACCGACGCCAGAGCCGACGCCTGGGAGGGAGAGGGATAAACTGCTTTTTACCATGTGGTTTCCACTCTATGAAGGGCCAGTATAAACACAAGGCACAGCACAAATCACGGCATTTTCAAGGCACCCAAAGTGTTTGGTTGACAGCGAATATCGATTGTGGCTAGCTAAAAAGCTAGTTTGATCTGGGGGGTATTGTGTTGGTGATCGCGATCCTCCTTTCCTCTCTCCCAGCTCGAAAACACAAAGAGAAGAAACCAAAAGGTGGTGGAATTGGAATCCGTAAATCAAGACCTATCCCTCCATCCTCCAAAGCAACGCCTGTCTCTGCTTCCGCCCCTCTCCCCTCAAATCAAGCCCCGATCGGAATCATCATGATGGGAGATCTGAACCGTGGCCAGTTTGGTTTGGCGGGCGGAGAGGGAAATAACTTCGTTGGAAATTTAGTGGGTGGCGGCCTGCTTGTTGGCCTCGGCCGAAGCGTCGTACTTGTGCTCCTTGGCCTTGTCCCCGATGGCATCACCAGCGGCTTGAAGGCTGTTTAGTAGTGTTAGTAGGGAATATAAGAGATGTGTGGTTGTGACTGGGGGGGAAGAATGTGCTTACCGAGTACCGACGCCGGCGTTGTTGTCCTTGGCGACGTCCTTGTTGGCCTCCTTGGAAGCCTCGTGGGTGGTGCCCTGGATCTTGTCCGAGACGTAGTTGCCGGCCTGCTTGATGGTATCCATTTTGGTTGAGTTGGGGTTTTTGAAGATTGGTTTTGTGTAGAAAGTTGTGATTGTTTGAGAAGGTTGGGGTTGTGTGATTGTGATGATGGTGATGAAGAAAGAGAGATGACTTGAGTGGTGGGAGGAGGGATGTTATATAGACAATCGGGTCCTCCTTGAGCCCTGGGTTCCTGCCTGTTCGAAGTCATGTTCGAGCCATGTTCACATGGAAGGGGGTGTGCTGGCGTACAATCAACTACGTCATACAAGCACGTTCAAGGGCAAGCTGATGGATGAAGTTTGCAACTTGCATTGTCATGGTGGAGTGATTGGCTGATGGCGTTACTTCCAAGTTCAAGCATCGATTCTCGCCCCTTCCTCACCTGCACCAACCTTGATGGCCGAATCACAGCTCCTGCCTGTCATCTAACATAAAGGCAATAGATGACGTCCTGCAAGTGGGGCCGCAAGCCGCATTCAACCGGACACAACTCTCCGGTCTTCAGCTCCTGAGCCGGAAAAGGTGACGCAATGTGGGCCTGTTAACGCACAGGGGAAGCCATATTATTGGCTAATCTGACAGCTTTCCCCTGCAGACTGACGCCATCTTCAACTCTCGAACACCACACTGCCACACCAAGGAACCGCTCACTTGGGCCGAGAACCATTGCGGCTGTGGCGCAAAATTGCTGGTTACTGTGTATACACGACTATAGACCTGGTTGCGCCGGTGTGATGCAACAGTATCCGCGCGACGGGCCGCGACGGACTTTTCTTTCGGTAGTATACAACCTCACATGTGATGGATAACCCGGAAATGACCGGGCAACATCCCTCCCGAGGCCTTGAGGACACTTGGAAGAGGCAAACAAAAAACCTCCATATTGCGGATGTCACCGTCCCAATATCAACTTTGTTACCGCAACCATCTGAACCTAACCGCGGCAATCTCATGACCCGTCTGTGCGGCTGCCACCGTGTTCGTCTTTTTCGGCCTTTGCAGTTCCACGTCTTGCGTAATCTGCCCACCAGCCCGTCTTGCCAGGCTTCGGATCTCGCCATGATCCGATTGCTTGTTTCTTTGGTACTACGGTTCGCAGTTCTGGTTGTGCTGGTTCCGCGTGCCCGTCCGACCCCTTAGCCGACGACGTGCCTTGTGGTCGATGACTCTGAGGAAGGAGAATAGAATACCCTAAGCCCGTAAAAAAGCCCATAAACAACTCTCGTGTTACGGGCGACTGGCCATGTGTCCGTCCCTGTTTCATCTCGAGCTGCCTCCCTACCACGGAGTCGTAATCCTCATGGCCTTGTGTCCAGCTGAAGCCGTTGTACCTGGCCAGCGGAGCCGAGGGTGCTACGACAAGTGCTGCTTCTCGAAAGCCCTGGCGCAGCCTGGGTAGCTACCAAAAAAGAGGGTACCTGTCAATATCTCTCCGAGTCAGCTGCTAAAGCTGGCTAATGATGCGTATCCCCACAACCGTGAAATGGGACTCTCCTACAAATCCCAGAGAGGCAAGAAATTACTGCCGAAGGCACAAACCGACCGTTGCGCAATATTGCCATTTTTCCCCCAAGGAATAACTCGAGAATTGAGACCCCGGAGCACCTTTACGGACCATGCCGTGTCACCCTTTGGCCAAAAAGGGCCGAACTCAAAAAGGGAGCAAGAAATCAAGAAACGAGAAAGAAGTAAAAAAAAAAAAAGTAGAAAAAAAAAGGGGGAAGATATAAAGAAAACCGAGCGAAACAAATCAAATCCAGAAACCGAGTGAAATAAACAGCAGGCTTTAAGCTTTTGAATGGCTTTCCTTTTGTTCCCCTCGTAAGGTTTCGGGGCGGCGCCTCCACCTGGAGTTCGGTCTTTTTGACCAGAGGCTGCGTGCGTATCCGGGGACAGAGTGGGTCCCGGAGTGGATGCCACGGGCCGGAGACGGCACTCGGACGGTAACCCCCGGAATTGCCAAGGCTGCGAGCTTGGGGCGCCTAAGTAGCTTCGTAGTAACAATTTTTTGCTTGTTTTCTAGAAACCTTCTACGACGGAAGCCCCATCTGCAGATTTTGGAATTGTTTGTAGGTTGGGTTAATCTTCGAGTCGATGGGTTCATCTGATCGATGGAGGAATCATTGCAGCCAAGAAAGAAATGAAATGGGAGCTTGAGTGGCAAGAGTGGGTCGGTCTCATGTTTTTTTGGGACCTTCGTACCAAGTAGTTTCCGTTCAAAGAAAATTGATTAGATACAATCAAGCGCAATCAAGTTAGTGGTACCTGATTTTACGTTGAATGCTTGTGCACGATTCTGAGCGAAATGGAGACATTCACATCCTTAACTGATCGGATTCGAGACGCGTTGGCCGCCCTGCCCGCCGCTTCGGAGCAATGGGTGCTGGGATCCCCAAGCAACAAGATTATCAACGCGTCGGCGCTACTGGCTTTGCTTTCCTCGGCCACTCCCGCCGTTCCAGCTGTCGCTAACGTCACGCTGTACCAACCTGAAATCCCCATTGCACCATCTCCTCTTCCTGCGCCCGCCGCCTCCTCCCAAAGCGAGGAGATTATTCGTCAATTTGTTCAACTTGACCGGTCAACGGAATGGCACCTTGCCCAGCGGGTTCAGTTCGAAGGGGATACCTTTGAGCCCGAGGGCCTCGCGCGCATAGCTGATAGCTCGGCCGACGACTTGGATGGCGCCCGGTATTTTGTTTCCGCTGGCGAATGGACCGTCCCAAGGACGGCAGACACCCACGGGGAGGGATTTGCCCATATGCTAGTTTTCGATGGAAACGGCCGACGTCTCGCGGATGCCGTGATCACGGAGCCCGGGGCGCTCGAGTACCACGGCGGCGGTATCGAATACGACGGGACGTACATATGGACGACCCTGGCGCAATACCGTCCCGACTCGACCGCCACCCTCGTCCGGATGCGCCCGGACACCTTGCAGCTGGAACCCCTGCTTCGGATCGCTGACCACATGGGAGCCGTGGTTCACGATCTATCCACCGGGAACATTTTGACCCTCAACTGGGGCGCCCGCAGTGCGTCTCTCTGGAATCTGAATTACAAGCCCGCCACCCCGCCCGCCTTCACTGCCCCGCGCGCCGTGATCAAGAACCCCAGCCACTACACCGACTACCAGGACTGCAAGTTCCTAGGCCACTCTCAACAATACGAGTTCCGGCCTGTCATGCTGTGCTCTGGCATCACGAACCTCTACGGCACGACCATCGGCGGCGTGGCCTTGGTCGACATGCGGTCCATGGTCCCTTTGTATGAAGTGCCGCTGACCATGGTGTCCGACCACGGTGCCTTGGTCACCAAGAACCCGATGGACGTCGCCATCGTCGACGGCAAGCTGCGGCTTTTCTTCCTGCCCGACGAACGGAACTCGACGCTCTACGTTTATGAGCCTGCTGGGTCCGCGTGAGATGCCTGCGCCGCCGGAGAGCCTTGGGGCCTTTTCTCCCCCTCTTCATCTCTGAGATCTCAGGCTGTCTTTGAAGAAAGTTCAATCGGCCCCGGGTCTTCCAGAACTACCTCTCAGCAGCCCGTCCAGTGCGATGTGGATATCAAACCATTGTACACCCCGAACACCAAATAGCATGGATCTAGTCCCTCGATCAATTAAGACCCCGGGACAACACTTACCGAGTAAAAAGCCCTCGATGGGCAAGTCTAAAAGAGTTGCAAACAGCATACAGCCGTGCTCTTCACCGTTAACGACCACCGCCACCTCCCAAATCCCTTCATGGCAGCTCCTTTCTAGCGACACTGCCTTCTCAGTCCGCAAGGGGCTTGCCAGCTGTCTTGTCGGGACTACACCAAGGAGATCGGGTGCAGGAGCCTTGGCTGATGATTTTATCGGCGACATCATTGAAGGTGCTAGGTAGCGCCAAGTTTTGGGCTAGCATGAGTCGCCGATAGCCTCTACGAGAGAGGTGTATGGTGTAGTTTACGAACTGCTACACCACGACCACCATCATTCTCTGCCAAGTACACTTTGGCTATTTGTAGAGGGACCACCTACCAGCGTTGAGCTAGCGTAGTTCATGCGGTAGGGGGTCAAGTTAGCCGTAAACATCCACGGACGAGTTGTGTTATTGCCGGCTATCCCTTCTGAGACAGCCGTGGGGCCACTTCCGCCGCAACCGCCGCAACCGCCTAGCATCCTAATCGTCTAACCCCCTCCACCTCGCCTGTGACGTTTTAATATTGTCCTCCGGACAGGATTAGGACGGGGGTCAGGCGCATATGTGTCCGGGGTTGAGGGGTTGAGGGGTGGTGATGACGGATGCCTGATAGTTGCATTTTACCATGGATTTGTCTTCATATGTGTAAGTAAGGACATACATCATACCCGCTGTCTAGCCAATCGGTGATTAAATCCTGTCTACAGGATGTGCCCAAGGTAGGATGACAGACAGAAGTACAGTAAGATGAAGAATAGTAAAATAACGAACTGGCCCAAAATAACAGATAGAGAACGAGCGTCTGATTTTAAGTATTGGAGATAATGCTTTCAATTGAACCTGAGACTCGGTTCGAGGAATGAGTCCCCCTCTTCCTACGAGAGGGGCAGGCGAGTCAAGCGCTGAAGTCACGCACAGGCTCCACTTATACTCCACCCCCACCCAACCGCTTGGCCCTTCTCGATTCACCGCCTTCGTGGGGCGCCGAGGGGCAAGAGGGACGAGACAAAAGGAACGGGGTGATGGGGGGGTAGGTAATGTTATTCGCCTTTGATGCCTTGAAAAACCAGAACCTGTTCAGAAAATATCTACAAAGGAGCTTTATACATTATTTACCATTATACAGGCCTCGCACTTGTAAAATTTAAACCTAGTTCTCCGACTTAGTTGTCGAAGTGAGCTTTGACGACGAGACTCGAGCGAGAACGCTGAGCTCTGCACTGCGTCATAGGCTGTATCGAATCTTCCACAAGCCACGAGAGAGCACACGACATCTGCCAAGGCACCTGAAGATCAGAGCCTCGCCGTTCGCCTCCAGCCGTGCCAGTGATAGCCTCTTCCATCATTCACACCACACCTTCCCGCCTTTTTTTTTTTTTTTTTGCAACCCGAGATCGAGTGTTGTGGCGGCTTGGAAACCGAAACCCCCACGAAGCTCGAGACTAGACCAAGACCCTCCTGCCGAGCGATACCGGCTATTCGCCGCAAGGAGCGACGTGCAGCAGCTAGATCACCTCTCCACACTTAAGACCTTCCAATTCGACATCGACAGCTCACCTGCAGCTTGCTGCGACCCGACCCGCCAGACAGACGCAGGACACTTCACTCCACGCATGACCCCGACCTGCTCCTAGAACACCCGCAAGAATAGTGACAACAACACCACGGCGACGAAACACCCAGTGATCCTGCTCAAGACAAACCTCGCCGTTCCAAGAAGCCACCCAAGATGGTCAAGGAGACCAAGCTCTACGACCAGTTGAACATTAGCCCTAGTGCTACGGCAGACGAGATCAAGAAGGCGTACAGGTAAGTTCACCGCCGCATTCCCGATCCACCCCCGCCTTCATTCCTCCCACCCCATCGTCATCATCTATCCTGAAACCCACTGCTAACCCTCAACCAGGAAAGCAGCCCTACAAATGGCACCCCGACAAGAACAAGGACAACCCGGACGCCGCCGAAAAGTTCAAGGAATGCTCCCAAGCCTACGAGATCCTATCCGATCCGGACAAGCGAAAGATCTATGATCAATTTGGGCTCGAATACATCTTGCGCGGTGGCGTCCCGCCACCAGAGAGCGCCGGGGCTGGCCCAAATCCCTTTGCAAGCGCCGGGGCTGGTGCTGGCGGCATGCCCGATGGGTTCTCCTCCTTCTTCTCTGGTACGGGTCCCGGGGCGGGTGGTGGCACGCGATACTCGGCCAGCTACAGCTTCACCGACCCCGAGAACCTTTTCCGCACCACCTTCCGCGACAGCGGCCTGGGGAGCGACATATTTGACGAGATCTTCTCCCGGGCCACGGTCGGCCGCGTCCTCGGGCTCGGGTGGCGGCGGCGGCGGGCGGCGTATGCGGAATTCGTTCGGCGAGGGCATGCGGCTCCCGCGCGCGCTCACGCCCGAGGTGACGACGGTCGAGCGGCCGCTGCCGCTATCGCTCGAGGACCTCTTCTCTCGGCGTCACCAAGAAGATGAAGATCAAGCGTAAGATGTTCGACGAGAACGGCAAACTGCACCACGACAGACACCGTCCTCGAAGTACCCATCAAGCCCGGTCTCAAGAAGGGGAGCAAGATCCGCTTCAAGGGCGTCGGGGACCAGGAAGAAGGCTTGCCAGCAAGATCTGGTCTTCATCGTCGAAGAGGTAAGCCCATCACACCACCCCCCTCGCCCCATCCAATCATCCACCCAACCCACCCACTAACCCACCCACAGAAACCCCACGCGCTCTTCACCCGCGACGGCGACGACATCGTGCACACGGTCGACCTCGACCTAAAGGAAGCCTTAACGGGCTGGAGGCGCACCGTGACCACCATCGACGGCAGGAACCTGGAAATCGACAAGGCCGGCCCCACGCAGCCCGGGTCCTCCGACTCCTACCCGGCCCTCGGCATGCCCATCTCCAAGAAGCCCGGCCAGCGCGGCAACTTCGTCGTCAAGTATCACGTTCGGTTCCCCATGACGCTGAGCCCGACCCAGAGAGCAGGCGTTGAGGGAGATTTTGTAATAGTCTCTCTCTCATCTCTGAGTTGAATTCGGTTTTTTTTCTTTTTTCGGTTTTTTTGTTACGTGTGTTTGCGTGCCGTAGTATATTACATCATATCATGAAGGGGCGTTTGGGTGTCGTGAGCATGCTCTCTTCTTTTTTCTTTGTTTTGTGCTTTCTCTTTTTTTTTTTTTTTTTATTCTTTTTTTGCTGGGGGGGTGGTGAGTGAGGTGGGAAGGGGGGAGTCTAGGGACTGGAACCTGGGGATGGGTCGGTGGGATGGTTTGTGTAGGCAATTGCGTTCCGGGGAGGGGGGA